GACGACCGCATTTTGATCTGAAAAGGGAAACAAGATGGTAAGATATTTGTGGCAAAGTTAATTCCACAGTTCCATAATTGATCGGTTTTCCATTTAACTGAGGGCAACATGATTAGTATCTACGCCATGAGGGTTCATTTCCTCTAGAAGACGTTTTTATGTTTGCAATCGATCTTTTACATGCAGAATAATATTGCCGAAAAGTTTTCTACATTATGGAGGGCGCGGGTCTCATTGTCGTCACTTCATTTTTGGGGAAAAACGAGAACTTGACCGTATACCAGCGTGAAGACAGTAGCATAAATTTGCAAATCCTACGACCTTTGCGGACGAGACGAATTCAAAATTTTTTTGGTAAACAGATTATGTGTACTTTAGGGTAAATTGATACCATACTAACAGCACAGATACTAGCCAAATGCCCATACAAGCGTGTTTCGCTGATATTCTGCCGCTCTGTGGCGCAGCTGCAAGGGGTTCGGTTCGTCAGTGGGTTCCCCAGCATTCCCTGTCTGCTTTCTGGTAGATACCCAAATTTAGAAATTGTCGCGTTTTAATTTCCTCAGAAATTATCCAGGAAGCTGGAGTAGATCAGTTTATTCAAGGTCCATAGGCTCAGACCGAGAATTGTGTGCATGAATATTTGGGCCAAAATCAATCACCCACACCTGGTATCCGCGTTGTATTCATTAACTGCCGTCAGGTACCGGGCTTTTGGCTAGTATTTGCGCTGTTAGTATGATATCAGCTTAACTTAAAGTATACTGCTAGTTGTCTGTCGACAGTTAATGAATTTTAAGCGGTTACCCGCTGCGGATGATGGACTTTGGCCCAAATATTCATACACAAAATTCTCGGTCTGAGTCTATAGACATGAAATAAACAGATATACTCTAACTTCGTAGATATTTTCTGTGAAAATTAAAAAGCGACAAATTATGTGTATTCGATTATGGCATTTTTGTGACGAAAGAAGCCTTTCCATGTTGCATCCAGTCTTTTTCGGCCACATCTATTTAAACATTCACCTAATTGTTCATACTACATGAACATACTCTGAGTTAAACTGCCTTTTTATTTATAGACCTTCCCTCAAAAGCATAGCATTCGCCTTTTCTAAGTTAAAATACGCCCTCATCTGAATAAAAAAGCATGTTTCTCGTGCACTGCATTGCTGTTCTTTAGTCCAAAATAATTACGAAATCGCCCTCGCACTCTGTTCGAAAGTTTCGGATGACTGCACCAAACTTAAAGGGAAAGGCGGGACATTTGATGCCTGCAATAATTGCGGTTTCCAATGGGATGGCTGGCAAAAGTGTAGGTTTTCCTTTTTATTTCGATACAGTTAATTATTCCTCCTCTTATTTTGCCCCTATTCACGTTACTTCTTTGATTCTTTTCAAGTGAATAACAAAGGACTACACAAATCCTTATCTGCTTTGGTAATGACAACTGACCGGTGGGAATGTACCTTTCCCAGTCAGATGAAGAAAACCAATTCGTCGACCTCAATACTGTTTTTCATTTTGCCTTGAAGGTAACAATTGGCCACTATTGCTTATACCAGCACAATGTTTTGCAGTTGGGCTTTGAAATCTGCATTAAGTATCATGTTCTTAAACTTAAGCGTCGTTGAGACACAGTTCATACCAATATTTAGAGGCAGATAACTATCATATTAACACCGTTCCGTTGTAAATATCTTAGAACAATTTTATACTTCCATACCCAATTTATGACATTTAAAATCGAAGGGAAATCTTTGAAATCTGAAGAAGGCATTGATATCAAAATGTTTTGACGTCTCCATTCAAATCTGTCTTTACAGAATGAAAATGTAAAATGTTTATTCCTTTGTGCGTGTAGGTGTTTAGGAAGCCTGAAAAACATTTAGTAATCTTTTGCCTCCTGATCAAAGCCACCCAAATCACAGATATTAACTGAGCGCCATAGTACCAACAACCGATACTCAGTTAAATACATGGATTTTTGCAGGCAACAAGAAAACACCTACTAGACCGCGTCGAATCGGCTAATCGACTTTTTAATAAATTTTAGATGCATGTCATTACTAGAACATAATATTATTTTCACTTAGGAAAAACATTTAAGAGAATGCTCTACTTCTGCGTGAAAGTTTTCCACATGTACAAGTCCTGGTTTGGTTTGCTGTTATTACTTGCAAACAATGTCTGTTTGGGGTTCTCATAGACGACATTGTTAAGTTATTATAAAGGCGAAAATTGGTCAAATGCTTAAAATCATTTTGTAAATTATCGAAATCGCACAAAGTGCCCGCCAAGTCTTATGTATAATACGAGACCTATCTCATAAAAACTGATGTTAAAAACTGATGGGAAATTTTTGTTCAAAAATATGTCTACATAACTGTATCACGTAAAAAGTTAAACTATTTGAGCATAAATGGATGCCAGGATATATTTAGGCCAGTATCTCTCTCAGACTTTAATTTAACATCGTTTTGTCGATATTAGAGTAATTAGCATCTAAATGGTTCAATAAACAGAGATTGCTGCATTTGCAAATTAAGTTTTTGTCGGTCCTAGGCATGGAAATTTACTGACCAGCACACATATCATTTAAAAGGAATCATACCTGTTTTCGAATTACGCAGGCAATATTAACAGTCATGCGTTTTTGCATGATCAAAAGTGCAGTACCTACGCACAGAGGCCTCATAAAACTGGTCATTCTAAGGTTGCTTGTAATGAAAAGCCATCAACGGAATTATCTCAACATGTAACACAAGAAAAGGAATAATTACTAAACGCAACTTTGTCGCTAGTTTAACGGGCCGTCCTGTATGTTACAGACATGTCGGCAACCACTAGCCGCCTTTTCAGACCAAAACGATTTGAACAGAACCCGCAATCAGTCGCCATGCAATGTGACCGAAAGAGAAACCGCCACTTCAGAAAACGTCCTAAGCATTTGAATAGACACTACCCCGCAAATGCAATTATTGCAATATATGCAGCCGCCCATGCAACCGTCTTTCTTCAATCTCTGCACACATGTGTGAATAAATAAACTCTGGGTGATAATCTTATTAGTACGTGCACGGCGTTCATTTCGCGCGTTTCAAACGGATAGTCAAGTGGCTACTTATTCGACGTAGGTAGCTTGGCAAACGTTAGCGACAATCTCCGAGTCGAATTGTCGTTGACAGTACCTTCTTCCTTCCGTATCTGTTTGACGTCCAAATTGCTTTCAGTTATTTATATCTACGTGTAATTTTACGTCCCCTGTGCGATTTCTAGTCCAGGGTCTGTTTTTGTTTTCAACATTGGGTGCATGATATGTCATATTCAAAAAACAGATACTAGTTAAAGTTCAAATATCAGACGAACAGAAGCAGCCAATAAAATATTCAATGCCGTTGTCAACAACGACTAGTCAGGTAACAGCAGGACAGAAGGAGGTATGCAGAGAAAACTGAGTTGCTTTGTTCTGACACCTGAAAGGCCACTCGTCAACGCCTAAC